TCTCGGCCGACCGCCGCGCGCGATCGTCGGGGGTTTCCCCCTCCTCCGTCATCGAAAAGCAGGGGGGATCGTCGCCTGCCGAGCGGGAAAGGCGAGGCGGGAGCAGCCGGTCGAGGAGGTCGGCGAAGGAATCCATCACGACCACCCCAGGGGGGGGGGTGCGGAAGACCACCGGGGGGGTAGAGGGGAGAGAAGGGGGATCCCCCTCGTCGCTATCGGCTGGGAAGAGGGGCTCCTTGAGCCCTTTCGACGCCTCCACTCCTTTGCTCTCCAATGGGTGGGACAGCGCCTCCACTCCTTTGCTCTCCAATGGGTGGGACAGCCCCTCCACTCCTTTGCTCTCCACAAGGGCGGAATCAGGGAGAAAAAACTCCCCACCGGGATGAACGGCCTCCCCTGATAAAAGGCCAGGATCCCACCCAGTGAGGGCGGCAAGTTGCGCCACCTCTTCCTCATGCCGCACCTCGCATTGCTGCAACAACTCCCCCCATCGTCTGAGATCCTCCGTCTGCTCGAGGGTGCTCCCCACCTCAAACGCAAAAAGCCTCGGCAGGGAAGGCTCCCGGGGAAGCGCCTCCACAACGTCGTCAATCTCTGTTTCCGTGGGTTCTTTTTCCTCTTTAGGAGGCGATTGAGGCGGCTCTCCCGATTCGATCGGCAGACTAGGTGGGTCTTCTAAGCTGAGCTCTTTTATCGCCTTTAACCGCTCTCGCAGTGCCTTAGAGTGCTGCAGGAGCTCTAAACTTTCCTCCTCAGAGGGAAACGCGTTCGCTTCCGCGTCGATGGCGAGATCCATCGACGCAATCAACTCCTCTTCTTGAGATAGTTGAGCCCTTAAATTGATAAGAAAAGGGTCGGTATGGCGGTTGATGTGAATGGGTTCTTGAAGAAAAGCGTCCACTTGTTTCAACAAGCTATCCGCTTCGTCTAAAGCTGGATGTCCAACGAAAACCTCCTTCATGACATCCTCGGAGGGGATTTCAGCAATCTCGTCAGGCGAAAAATCGGCGAAACTAGAACGGCGAGCCCTCGTTTGAAGTTCAGTAAGGGTATTCGATATGTTTTCCATTAGACATGGTGGCGCGTTATGCCTGAACGAGGATGTGTAACGATACGTTAACAAATCGATCGGATAATGCAGCAGCTGCTCCTCAGAAGGCTGATCCAAGTCATCGTCGGTATCCGCTGGCTCATCGACAGTATTGCAATCCGTCTGCCCTGTCAGAAACACATTTGAATCACCGTAGTCCGAGCGAAAGTGGCTCACAGCTGGGATATCCAACAGATAGTCGTACGGACCCTTCACGCCGTATTCCGCTAAAAGGGCCGCCTCCTCTTCTAAAGTGAGTAAAGGTGAGGTGCGCGCGTTGCGCTCCGATGTTATTTCAGAAGTCTCATTCATAAATGGCTAAAGAAAAAAAGAAATAAGCTGCTTTCATTACTGTTTTTCTGCGCCATGGCGAGGGAAGGGGAAAGAAAGGGAAGGCATATGAAGAAACTAAAATATTGAACAGGTTGTGTCAGCAAAATTGTTATTAAAGTCATCGATGTAAAGCGATATCATTCATCATTGACGAATCGCGCATTATAGTTACTACTCGAACGTATAAATGAAGTTATGACGTTTTCATTTATTATTTGAGAGGGAAAATTGTAAGTGGCCTTAAATAAAGCAAATCAAGTTGCGTATGATGAGCGATGAACCACCTCTTAGCATCAAATCACGTAACAGCTGTAAATAGGAGTATGCAAAATGCATTGAATAATAGGAATACCATTAACCATTGACAGTAGAATCAAGATGAAATTATAGTGCGATTTTCCTCGATTTCATGTCTGCAGATTTTTATCCTCTTTATTGACAAGCGTCACGACGTTTCATTCCTTTAGCCAGAGTGCTACACTGACTTTGCATCTATTTTGTCTACCATGATTAGGTGATTTGGAAGATGGTGAACGGAAACTGAAAAACGGTAACCACTGATCACCTCTTGCCGCACTTACCCTTTTCTTAAGTCCAGCAAATAGAGCTCATTATGGTTCACACCAGTTGCTACGACAACTGAAGTGCCCATTCATCACTCTGAGAGAGGAACCCCAACGCGCTGTAAGCCTCTAAATCTTTCTTGGCGCGGTGACTGAGGGCTGGAATAGGATAATTCGACGGCGAAGCGCCCTGTCGAGCGACTTCCTCAGCGGATACGGGCGGGAATATTCGTTTGAACCCACGCGCGTACTGCAGTTCATCTTTCAGCTTCGAAGCAATCTCCTTCCGCTGGATTTCAAAGGAAATTCGAGCCGTTTGATCGCCCCCCCGCTCCTGAGAAAGCAAATCCAAGGTGTGGATGTACGGTCTTACCGCGACGTCAGGGGAATGAAGGTCGTCTGGTTGCTTAAGAAAGGGGCTGAGGGCCTCCCGCGGCCGCTCGAAGGCCTCCATCATCGATAAATTCAGCAAATCTGCCACAACGTTGCTCTTAACCGCGTAGTCGAAGTCCGAGCTGCTCTCCAAGGACGGCATGGTGTTCACCTCGATTAGCTTGGGGTTAAGATTCGCATCGAGCATGATATCGAACCCGTAGAGCTCAAAGAAACCATCATGCCGTGCGGGCATCGAGGGAGCGATCGCGGAAGGGGTGCCGCCGGGCTGCGCACGAAGCCCCTGGAGGATGGCAGGTCGGGCAGACATGAGCACGCGCGTGATAATCAACGCAATTTCCTCCTTCAACCGCTCCGACGGGGTCGAGAAAGGCCTGCCGCTCGCTGCTGATCCGTCTGTGGTCACGTGCTCGCGGTCTAGATACTCCCACAACCGCTGCAGGCTCCATTTGAGCTCAGGGAGAGGCCGATCCATCGCCGCGAGCGCCTCCGCATGCCCATCGTTGGGATCCAAAATGCCGCCGGAGGGAGGGACCGCGCTCGCTCCAACTTCTCCAGAAGAGGGTCGCGTCTGGGGAAGCGAGCCCTCCTGCTGCAGCTGCCGGAAGGCAGGGTATTTTCGCCCAATGGAATAGTTGGTTAGATGGCGAAAGCGATTGATGAACTGCGCCTCCACGCCGTCCTCCTGGGGTCCGCTCGCGGACCACTTGAGTGCGCCCTCCCCCAACCCCATCGCCTCTTCCGGAGGGGAGGAAAGGAGCCCGTCGTCGTTGTCATACGGCTCCGCAGCGAGCCGCACAAGACCCTCCTCATGCAGGTACACCGTCAACGGATCGTAGGAAGTGACACCGACGTAGAGCCGAAGATCCATCTTTTTGTCATTCAACAAAAGCGGGTTATCGAGGTACTTCTGAACGACGTACTGGCGATAAATGCGGCCGCCAGGCTGATCGCCAGAGGCCTTCCGCTCGATTTCCTCCATCACCCGCTCCCACGACGCGGTGTGGGCGGCACCGCCCTGGGAGATGTAAATCCCCCGCCCACAACTCCCCCGCGCGGGCTTCCAGATGAAACGTTCCGAGCTCGGCGCGGCGCGAAAGATGCGCAACAGCGCCTCCTTTTCCTGCGGGTACACCCACGTCTGCGGGACGAAGTCGTACAAATCCGGGGGAAGCGATCGCGATTCGGGGCCGCCGCGCATCCCTTCGATATGAAACTGAATCCGCCGCAGGTTCGCCGCCATTCCCCGCTTGCAGCCGAGATTCCGATGGCTTAGGGGGAAGTGGTTGAAGCGCTGGAAAGGGTTTTCCATCCGCAGGAGGGCTGCCCAGCCGAGATCCTTCGCCGCGGAGGTGAGGCGATCCCGCAGGAGGGGGGGGAGGGCGTCGCCCGCTGCGAGCATGCTCGAAAACGCCTGCGCAGACGGCGCGGAGGCGGCCACCCCAAGTGGATGCGAGGGCATGGATCGTCCCCAGACGAGGTTGCACACCACCCCTTCCAGCGGTGCGCACAAACGCTTAAACCCCGCCTTTAATAACGGAAGCCGTAGCGAGTAGTACTCGCACGACGCCGAACTGATCGCGAAGAGCGGAAGCGCGGACCCCAACCCATCCACGCGGAAAATTTCTTTCTTCGCCTCGGTCGCCTCGACGCATTCGCGCATGCGTGGGATGTAAAAGCTCGGCTTTCGAAAGGTGCTTGAGGAAGGCTTCAGGTATATGGGAATGCCTTGAAAAACAGGCGGCGCCGAGGTCGAGGTGTGGTCAGCGGCGGAGAAAATATTGGAGGTGGCCATTAGCCACGGCCTCACTCGCTTCATCAAGGATTGTTTCGTGGAATACCTTGAAAGGAAACCTAAGCTGATCGGATCTAAATTTTAAATGGTATGTGAAAATACTTCCAATTCACTCTTCCTAAGCGGGATGAAATTGGTAAAGGAGTGAGCAATCAAATAACTGGCAAGACAAAAGGAAGGCGATTGCATTGCAAACTTTATCGATGCGAAAACACCGCTACCAAACGTTCGATCCCAATCCATATCCATCGATCGATCCCCATACCGACCATTTCATTTTCGGTACCCTCCGATTTGCTCACACCGCCCCCACGCTATGGGGGTTGGTTTCCCCCACCTTGTCAAGCTCATGCGGGGCAAGCACCGCCAACACCCAGCGCCAATCAAACTCCCGCAGCCGTCCAAAGTACGGCGAGCGCACGTACCAGCTATGGGAGAGCGGCACCAGCCCGGCGTACTTCCCGTGTTTAATCAGACTTTTCGGCATCACCCCCAACAAACACCGCGCCGCCTCGTAGGTGGAGCTCAGCCGGGAAAGATTCTCCTCCACAAAGCGGTTGGCGAGGGAGACCGCCTCGACACGGGTGAGCGTGCACGCCGGTGGCTGCCACGCGGCCTCCGCATTGGAATCGCCCCCGTTTGCCGTCTTCCCGGCGACCCCATCGGACGAGGGGTCGTCCTCGAGGGCGCGGTAAATCCCCTCGTGGGTGGGTGCCTGCAGGATCGCAAAGAGGCGCCCGAGGGCCTCGACCTGCGCGCTCAGCCGGGCGTCGTACTCGTCGAAAAGAAGCCGCGAGATGCGCGCCACCCCCGCCGGGCTCGCGAGCTCCGCGAAGCTCGGCCCCAATTCGATCACGTACGCGGAGGAAATCCGACTGAGGGTGAGCGTCGTCGTCGCGTGCGCGATAAGATCCGCGCAGCGGAAGGTGAACTCCTCCCAGCTCATCCGCGCCGCGTTGGCGGCCTCGATTTGATTCGCCACGACGTCGTGGCGGTTGAAGATGTCGACGACGGGGTCGTCCGCCTGGAGCTGCGCTAAGAGCTGCACCACCGCCCCACTCCCTTCGGCAGAAGGGGGGGCCTCGCCCCCTTTCCGGGCGCGCTTCCGACGCGAAGGAAAAGAAGACGAGGGAAAGAAAGAGGAAGAAGAAGGATCCATCGAAGGGTTTGCGCTACCCACCGCGCACGGATCGTACGCGGCCTCCGCCCTCTCATGCGTGGGGTGGCTCACGCGATACCCCAGCGGGCAGCTCCCTCGCATCCCCTTAAACGCCCCCCGCAGCGCCGCATCCTTCGACGTGAGCAGCATGAAAAGAATCGTCTCCACGGTCTCCTCCGCGATCGACAGCTGCTGCGAGATTTTCTGAACCGATACCAGCATGATCTTCTCACCGAACTGGGTGATCGGATTCGAAAAGATCGCGAGCACGATCGCGTGAAACTCCTGCGGCGAAAGAAGCGAGGTCCATAAGCGGCACCGCAGGGCGTAGAAGTCGTACGGGTTGTACAACACACGGCAATAACTCACCTCCCCATCCCGCCCCGCGCGCCCGATCTCCTGCACGTAGCTCTCCAACGACCCCGGCGCGGCGGCGTGCACGACGCTGCGCACATTCCGCTTGTCGATCCCCATCCCGAACGCGACCGTGGCGACCAACACGTCGACGCGGTCGCGAAGAAACTCCCGCTGCGTCGCGGTGCGCTGTGGCGTGGAAAGCCCCGCGTGGTAGGCGCGCACGACGAGCGGCGGGCCCGCTCCGGTGTCCCCCG